GATGTCATTGCTCTGATATCTGAAGGAGACAAAGAACAGTCAGATTCATCTTTATCTGACCAGGAACTATAGAGTCATAGAACTAGAAGAGACCATGATGACAATCCAGCCAAAAGTCCTTTGATGCAGGAATAGAATTAACAGCATTCTTGGTAGTGTCTGCTTTAAAAACTTCAAAAAATGAAACTACCACACATATTCCTTTATATGAGGGACACAATTTTACTACACGATTGTATATAATGGGGCTTAAACATCCACAGATGTTGGTATCCACAGATGTTGGTTCAACCCCCCCCCCCCCGAAAATTTTCAGGTTAAAAAAACCTGGTTTACTCATGAATGTTAACCAAAAACCCCATGCTAAGTCAATGAGAAGCAAAAATTAAATTGTTTTAATTACGTCTATATAAAATATAGAATGAACCACTCTTCATGATCTACTCTTCATGATTTGCTAAAAAGAAATCCCCCCCCCCCACACACACACACATTTTTTTTTTGTTACAATCCTGCCAAGGCCCCAGGATAATGTAAGATATCTGATTCCTTAGATAGAATGTAAACTATGAAGACTGTGTGTTCCTTTCCAGGGTGGGGATGGAGGATGGAAATGTGTGCTACTGATTGCTTTATGGAGCATGATTCCCAGATCTATGGATAGCTGGGCACGATAAATGCAGATTCAGTGATCTACACCTGCACTTATTCACTTATACAACCTACACCTTCTTCTTGGCACCTCGGTCATTGGTCCCATTGAAAAAGATAAACTACTATCTGTGATTTCATGTATCTAAATGAAATACAGAAATGTATCCTCCATGGTTATGAGAGATCATGCTGTACTAATAAAATAGCCTAAATGTTTACTAAAGCAGGAACTTTCATTTTAAATATTCTGAAACTCAGTGTTGCTTATGGGTAGTACTGATGCTAATTTGCTTATCTGAACACGCACCTCCAGACAGAAGGAGCCAACGGATGGCTGGAGGGGAGCCCTTGAATCCCCCTCTGAAGGACCAGTTGGTTCCGGCTGGCATTGTTGCCAGGTGGAAGAGGGGAGGGGCCTTAAAAACCTTCCTACATGTAGCCCTCTCCCCCCTGTATTCGGACTTCCAGCAGCAAAATTAGGCGGGCTACGGGCTTGTCGTTAGCTGCAGCAACAAAGAAGCAATATGATAGGGCAGTAGTGGAATTTGAGCAGTTCAGGACCACTTTCCGCATGCCCGAAGTTTGGCCCATTCCAGTTGATGACATGCTATACTTTTGTACATATCTCCACTTTAAAGGCTTGATGCCACCTTCCATACGAACCAAGGTTTCCACCTTGTTATTCACATCAAAGGTTTTAGGGTACCCAGATTTCTCTAATGAGTTCTGGATTAGCAAGATACTAGAGGGATGGGCCCGAGAAAGGGGCAGATTGAGGGACCAACGTAACCCTTTATCTCCAGCTATATTGCAAGGGCTCACCAATGTGGAGGCACATCTGTAGTTCTCCCTACGAGGCACTCCTGTTTCACACTGCGGCCCTGATGGTCTTTTTCTGGGTTTTTAGAGTTAGTGAGCTGGTGCCAGCATCCAAGGGCGACAGGTCTGGCAAGGCACTGTTGTGGGAGGATTTTCAGATGCTTCCTCGCCTGATAAGACTAACCCTTAGGTAATCAAAAACAGACCAAATGGGCAGGGGCAGGCTGGTGGTACTCAATGCCAATAGTAATGCAGATCTCTGCCCAGTTGTTGCCCTACAGCAATACGCGAAGCTTAGAGGGGATACTCCAGGTTATCTGGCTTTGCTGAGCCGCAGACACAGCCAGAGGGTGAGAACTCTACCTTAGAACTCCTGCCTGGGGCCAGCCTTTCCAAACATACTTGGTGTGGCCCCCACAGCTGTGCCATCTCATCTGATAAAACAGCCAGCACTAGACCCAGAGCCTGCTTTGCAATCCGACTATGTTAAGCCAATCAATCAGATCTTGGCACTATAGGACTTTTACCAACATGGATAGAGACACTTCACCATCACGAGAAAAA